AAACATCACGGCTGTCAACATCTCCACCTACGATGATGTCATTCCACAAACATGAGAGCAGGGTTTCAGGGGGATTAGGAATCACTAGTGTTGCATTTGGAAGTGAACAGTCAAATATGTGTTTATTCATTTGCCAAAACACAAAGTACTCATCTGTTTATGTTGCATAATTTACTTGCTGACCTGAACATTACAATGCTAAGCGTTGCAGTCACTGCCAGGAGATGAGCAGGTAATTGTTTTACTGAGGTTTCATTGGATAATTGTTTAATTGGGAAGCAGTCACCTAATTATGTCGCTCACAATTGGAGACCATATGGACGTTGGCAGGTGAAACATAATCAAGCCATGTTAATGTATGATGATTATACATGGGCCTGAGCATCTTATACTGTACAAACAGTGTGTGTGTGTCTATCATGACCAATCTAGTGTGGTTGTACAGTGAATGTTTGCACTCATTATCTTTGCAGAAAGAGAGAGAGAGTGTGTGTGTGCATGTGTGTGTGTGTAAATGCTTCCAGTGAGTTGTTTTGTACAGAGGGCTGTTAGTGTTATCTAATTGTTCATCCAGGCCAGAAATGATACCGCGTAGGATTTGCTTAATTGGCAGATGGAGAGATATTAACGAGTAACGCGTGAAAATGAGTTTAAGACAAACCCTTAATGGCTGATAAAACTATCATCTCTTTAGTTCCAGAATGCTAATAAAATCAGGATATTAAACCTAGTTATTAGTGCAAACTATGAATTTTGATCTCGTCCCTGACGCCCTCATGCGCGACTGTTTATGATGATTATTGTGGCGCAGTTATAGATGAGATATTAACACCGAGCTGGAAATAAAGCCATCGATCAACTGGCGGAGGAACACAAAGAGATCATGCCCACTTAAAAAGATATCACAAAATGAAATATTATCGACTTTGCTGCCTTTATGAAAATACCAATATTTGCACAGAGACGGTATAAAGTGTCAGGCGATGTTCGCATGTTGGGATGTTCACTATTCAAGAGGAGATGAATGGCCTCTATTAGGAGCATTTAATCAGTGGCTGGCCCAGTGCTCCCGGTCTCCTGCGCCCCCTGGGGAAAGATTAATGGGTACAGGATATTTCATCAGGTCCCTGCACATCACTGCTCAGAATATGAGGCTGTAATTGTGCCTGTTTTGCTGTTGTTTTGTGTCACAGGCGGACAAAGAGGAACCTGCTGGTTGGAGCAGGCTGCAGGCGTCACAAGGTGCCATGAGGAGTGGGAGAACAAGATTGAGGAAAGGAAAACGAGTGAAGAGGGCATGACGTGTCAGTAAAAGGCCAGTGAATGAAGATATGAATTGAACAAGAAATATATTTTAACTTATGTCTTTGATTAATCGACCTAAAGAAATAGTGATGAATGATGAAGAGTGATTATGTTACAGCCATTAGAGATTTTTTGATGTGGTCCATCTCTTCTTCTTCATCAATCAGCTGCTCAGATTGTTTCTGACAGCACCCAGAGATATTGTCCTGCCACACCCTTTTCCTATCCACTGTAAAACCATATGTGTCAGAAGCGCTCAATCTTTGATAAATCTCTCAGGAATTATTAATGACGCCTGAATTATTGAATGTTTTCCTAATTAAAACACCTCAAAAATACTAAAACACAAAAAAATAGATTATTCTGTGTTACATTCTGTGATTTTTATGATGGTTTGGTCAAAGCTAGAAACACGTTGGGTCATTTGGAGTATAAATGCAAAACATCTGAAATGCACTGAGTTTATTCTGCACTTTAAATTCTTCGCCGCTTCCCTGCTCTTGAAAAAAGAGGATGTTTGCTTTGCTGCTATTGCATCTCATGAAAATTAGATGACCTCCCGGTGCTTTCTGCCACCCATCGCTCGCCGTATTTGCTCAGAGCTCAGGGACTGCATTTGGGTTAGCATCCTCCGCCCTGCCTCCCTCCTCCTCCTCCTCCTCCTCCCTTCCCCTCCCTCCACTTGTTCTGGGGGTGAATAACTCAACACATATTTCAGCTTGACACACTTCTGCTCGGGGTCTCCCCTGGGTGGCCAGTTCACGAGCCCACACATGCTGTATTATTTAAAAGTGGGGTTTGGAGCTCTGGCTGTGTGTGGATGTGCATTTAATCTGCTGTTTGTGCAGAGGGAATGCCTTATGGAGTTGTTGGGCCTTTGCCTGTGACCTTGCAGGTGTGGCATCACCTCTGATACCAGATGATGTCTCAGGTCTGGCTGTTTTATATTATAATCTTTTTGCTGCTCTGTGATTTCAGGAGAAAATGCAGGTTCACAAGCACCACAGTACTGCACTAATGTATCATAATACTAACTGCAAAGTGATTTATCACAGGAAATTGTAATCTGGACAATTTATCACACAGCCAAGAATAAAGATCTGCCACAGCAAAAAATGCTCAAGGGCCATGAAACATAAGTAACAATACCTGAGGATGCTAAAAAGCAAAGTGAAGGTTGGAATTAAATCAAGTCTCAGGTCAAGACCACGCACGCACGCACGCACGCACGCACGCACGCACGCACGCACACACACACACACACACACGCACATGCACACGCACACACACACACACGCACACACGCACACACAGTAACTCAAGCTAATCTGAGAGCTGATAACATCATGGAAATGCTGTGCTGTAAAAAAAATGACACATAAATCATGAGCCAGGGAGAGGATGCAAAATACTGCAGCTTGCTTGATGGATACAAATAACCGGTCAGTGTCTGGAAAGCATTCATATAAATACTTGTCTTTATGTTGCAGGGGTGTGTCCAGTAAACTGGATTATTAATATCTACTGGGGTAAAATGGCCCAGGGTGAGGCTTTTAAGATAACGACTGCATTTTCTACTTGGTTTTTTTTTAGGCGATCATAAGAGCATCTTTACATCCCCACATTCTGCAGCAGCCTGCATTCGTATAGGTCGTACATTAAGGCAATGAGCATGCATCCGATGGGATATGAGGTGGGGTTGGACCATGCAGTAATCTGATGGTGGTAGCTGGAGCAGCAGGAGGCACGATGCCCACTGGAGGGCACTGTGAGCAGCAAAGAGGGGAGGTGGTGAGGGGAGAGGTGAGACACCTTGTCCAGCTCACCAGATGGGCTCAGTGAAGCGTATCAAATGACTGTGACAGCTACCTGCCCTTCTTTAAGCTCTGTCACCATCTATTAACAAACCATTACTCTCTTTGTGAGCATGCTGCCTTATGTGTGTTCATGGTGTGTGTGTGTTTGTGTGTGTGAACAAGGGCATGGTAGCAATGAAGCCACTGATTGAACATTTCTGAAGTGTTGGTCCTTTTTTTCTAGCATAAGGAATGTGATTTAGCAAAGTTTTTAAATAAGGTTAAATAACTATTCAGTGACACCTATGTCAGGATAAAAGTTTAAGTGCAAACCCTTATTTTAAATTCTATGGCCATCTTAGTTTCCAAAGATATGATGCAGTAATGCTTCCTCCCTCTCTCTCTTTCTTTCTCTCAGCTAGGCAGCTATTTGAAAATGAATCACTAAAAGATGTACATTTAAACCACTTTTCAAATGTGCAGTTTTATACAATAAATATGTTTCATAAAAGTTTAGAAAATAATCATTTTCCATTCTTCCTGTTTCACATGAGAGAATATAGAGATATTACAGCATCTGTAACATCTGCACATGACTCAGAGTTGGTCTATTTTTTACGTATAAACATACAAAACTCTCTAACTGGTACATGTTAAATATTGCCAAATTAAGTAATACTATAATACTCTGTTTTATACTGTATAAAACCAAACATATTTTCATCTTACTGAGAGTTATACGGTGAAATGTGTTGTGTGTGGTGTGTTACAACCCTACAACTGTCCCCAAGGTTGGGGTCAGTCGCAACATCTAACCTCTTCCATTGAAATAGATATTGTGACTGACATGTCATATGTCATCTTCTTTCAATGATGAGTGTAATCACCAGGCGGGTGTATGTTGAATACAAAAGAAATTAGATGGGTCTCATCTCCTCCCACATAACAGAGCTCACTGAAGGGCTGGATCAGTTGTACAGTAAAATGTTCCTGTGTCACAGTGTGTGGATAACTTCAGGGGTTAAATGTCATAATTAGCAGTAGAAACACTTCAGCTTTAGTGAATGGTGAACATACGTATGTGAATGGGTTTTTCTTCACATATCACTATTTTCAGCTTCTGGCCTCAGGGCAAAGGTGCAGGGTCCCCAGTGCAAAGAAAACATCGACAGGAAATCATTTGTCCCTGTTGCAATAAAATATCTTAATCAGTAAAAAAAAAAGTCACTCCTTGTGATGCCAACATTTTATCAATCAATTATATTTGGTTGTTGTGCTTCATGAAAGTGTATTTTTTCCGAAAGGTTTATTTTAAATATGTCTGTTTGGATGTGAGATGCTGTGTTTTAAATGTAAGCAAAGAGAAATTTCTGCCTTGACAAAGGTCGACAATAAAGTAGTTTCTATTCTATTCTATCCTGTGGCCTGTGGCTGTGGACAAGATGGGGAGCCCTTAAGGCATCAGCCTGCTCAGTGTAGAAAATGTTGGGTTTCTCTATAATAAGGTCTGGACCATATTATGTAAAAGGCTTTGAGTATGTTGTGATTTGGCGATAGACAAATAAATTGAATTAATAATAATTCAATGATAATAATGATATGATGAATAAACTGAACATGGAAAAGCAGCATTCAGGTTTTATCCTGTACATGTGGAACTACAGGTCTTACATCCCCTGTGAATCAAAGAAAATCACCATTCCTCACACTGCACTGCTACTTTCACTCTTTTATTTCTCTCATGTGTGTATTTTTTATTCTCTATATATGTCACTCTTTTTACTCTTTGTCACGGTGCCTTCTTTTATAATTCATGTACAGCACTTTGAACTGCCTTGCTGTTGGAATGTGCTGCATGAGTAAACTTGTCTATCAGATCTGTGGAGAAGATGGAGCCCTGAAGGCCTCATCCTGCTCATTAGTCTCCTCCGCGCATCTCCGCCTCCACTGCGCAGGCGCACATCCTCCAGGACGCAGAGAGAGAGAGAGCTCATCCACAGAGAACAGACAGAGGGGGCAAGATGGCCCTCGATAATCTCATCTTCGCCCAGTGCATCCTCTATTTCTTAGCCTTCGTGTTCGGCTTCATCGCCGTGGTGCCTCTGTCGGAGAACACGGAGGACTTCGGCGGGAGGTGCCTGCTGTTCACGCGGGGGATGTGGCAGAACGAGAACATCACGGTGTCGAAGCAGCGCTTCATCGTGGAGGAGTGGGGTCCCGAGTCCTCCTGCAGCTTCATCACTTTCGTCGGGATCGCGTCCCTCATCCTGTCCGCGGTGCAGGCGTGGAGGCTGCTCTTCTTCCTGTGCAAAGGACACGACGAGTGAGTCACACCTCTCACATGTCCGCTCCATCATGAGGCTCCATGTATGACAGGCTGCAGCACTCAGGTCCAATGCTAATGTGCCTTTTCTGTGCGTCTCTCACGCCCTTGAGTGCGCACTATTCTTATTATTACACAATGCATGTGCTGCATTATAGGCTGTGAGCAGGAAGGACCCAGAGAGAAAACCCTGCTCAAAAAATGACCAGTCATAGTCCTCATGCTTAAAGATGGAGGAATCACTCACGTGCTGCCATGAAAAAATCTAAATCACATCATGTGGTGTTGGTGACATCAGCACTGAGTCCTGCTGTGTGATAGTCTGGACCGTGTTTCAGGTTTACATGTTACAAAAAATGATGGTTTCAGTGCTGCAGCAGAGATTAGACAGTTTCTTTCCTTCTTTGCACGCAGCTCCATCTTCAACGCCTTCCTCAACCTGCTGATCAGCTCCCTGGTGGTGTTCACAGTCTTCCTGTCCAGCACCATCGTCAGCGTGGGCTTCAACCTGTGGTGCGACTCCATCACTGAGGGGGGGACCATGCCCAGCAGGTGAGAGAGCAGCACACCAACCTCAACATTTAATTTCATCACCAAGGGTGGGACAAAATATAGATACGGCAATATATCGTCGTCCTGACTCGTGAGATACTATTATTGATATGCTGGTGCCAAATATATAGTTTGGACATGTCTTTATCCTGTGATTTCCACTGTGCTGTGGTTCTTATTGTGCATCTCTTGTCTTTTAGCTGCGAGGACCTGCAGGACACTGATCTAGAACTTGGCCTGAACAACTCTGCTTTTTATGACCAGTTTGCTATAGCTCAGGTAGTTAACTTTTTTATACACAGCATCATCCAGACAGAGTAGCAAAAAAGCCAGAATCTCTCATACTGTATTTTTGACTTCTCTCTCTTTTAGTTTGGCCTGTGGGCTGCCTGGCTCACCTGGCTGGGCATCGCAGTGATGGCGTTCCTCAAGGTCTACCACAACTACAGACAAGAGGACCTGCTCGACAGCCTGATCCACGAGAAGGACTTGCTGCTCGGTCGCTCTGCGCGCCACAGCTCCGACCTCAAGACCGGCCTCATCTARAAAAAAAAAAAAGCCAGATGATGTGCAGACACAGTTATTCACACCAAACCGTATATCATCATCCTCCACCTGCCACAAGAAACACCGATGTTTGCCTGTGTAGACAATCAAAATCTATTGGCTTGTGCTCCCATTGACCATGGATTGAATGAAACAGCAGGTTTTAGCTTTGTTCTACAGAGATGATAGATTCCCCCTCAGAAATCTACCAGTGATTGCTAATCCTCAAAGTGTCCTGCTATATTCTACCACTGTGTGCACACACAACTATAGCCTTTGATAGTATTAAAACCATCCAGTGGAAATGTACACCCACTTTTTCTCAACTCATGACTTTCTATTTAGCAGCAGAGTATTAATGGCTTTGGACGGATCGGCCGATGGATCACGTTGTCTCGACAACTTCTGCATGGACGTAACGCATGATCATTTCATAGGGTGGTTTTTAGATGTAAAGAATTGTCCTTTTGTTTTATACGCCAAATAAATGTGTTCCTATCTAGACATTTTTTTCTCTGCTAGGATGAAGTGAGAGGTCTTTGCATGCTGCAGCAAAGTCAAATGGTGTGTGCTTTTTGCAGTGTATTCACAACAGTTACATAAGGGTGTTTTTATAAAAAACCGACAAACTGTAGTTCAGGACTGTCATGTATCAGCCAGCAGGTTCCAAAAAACGCTTCAAGCTATTTATGTGAGATTAAAAAAAGATCCGATCTTGTGCCACATTGTAACTCAGGCTTCTCCCTTATACTTTATAGGCTACATACCAATATTCTGCTTTCCTGTGAATAGATGCACAAATGTACCTGCATGCATCTCTCTCCCCGTTCCATATCATGCATCACACGTGTTACACACTCACCTCAGCTCCTCGGGGGATGTGTGTGTACGCTCTGGGTTTCAGTGCATGTACGTGAGAGAGGCTGCGTCTTCCTCAGAGGATACAGTGAAGAAAGCAAGTCAGCTGCTTGACTTTGATAGGCAATGACAGTTTATTCAAAACAATTGAAATCATAAAAACAGTGGGAACTGAGAAAACCCTCCAGAAAAAGGCACTTCTTTCAAAGTGTAACCGTAAATGTTTGGACAGTGGTGAAATGCAGCCTCTAAGCTCAATGTGCACATACAGGACATGAGTTCACTGGGTATTGTTTTTATTGCTAATGACAGTTTAGTTTTGACAGTACAGAGTTGAGAGTATTTCTTTTTTCTCCACAGGCGTCGTTCACCTCATGCTGCTCTGATGCTCTAATGTGAGATCTTACAAATCACTTTCCCTCTGAGTTCCCTGAAACCTGTTATATAGGTTTTATATATATATATATATATATATATATATATATGTATATATATGTATATATATATATACACATACATATATATATATATAAAGAAGAATGTTATACTGGAAACCATTTGATGTGTGTTATTGCTCATAATGAGAGGTGTGTCCCCTATAATCCATTTGTGTGGTGATCTGTCTGTTTTAAATACTTGATTGCATCAAGATTCTGTTATGTTTCCATTTGGCCTGAAAAACTAATGGATTTAGATACAAGGAGTGAATCCTTGATTTTTTTTACACTTGTCCGAAGCTTGATGAGGATTTGACATCATGATCGAAACCTGAATTTTGTTGTTTTCCTTTTAAATAGAAATGCAACAGGTAAAAAAAAGTTTTAAAAAATCCTAAATAATAATTGAACGTTGGATATTTGCGTAGATGCAGATATACAGTATAGAAGAATAAATAACATTTCGGGAAAAGGATATCCTGTGGGATTCAAGCGGTTATAAAGAGAAGCATGATCACAAGCATTAGCATTCATTCTGTTAGAGTATATTCTCTTGGATGATAAGATAATATTGTGCTTCCTCAGTGGAAGGAGGAACCAGCCGACATTCACCCACACAGACGATATAATGCCTGTAAAGAAAGAGGAGTTTGTCATCTGTTAGTCATTCAACCTGTGAAGTGATGCAGCCCTGTGTTTTCTTGCTCACGGATCATTGTTAGCACGTCTGCGCCTCTGTCCTTCTCCTCATGTGCGCCGTGCCAATCAAAGCTGTTTTCAAACATCTTTAACATTCATTTATGTGCAAATACAAGGCTGAATACTGTGATAGACCTTAGTATACTGAGCCATATATACACATTCACTTCTGTGTCATATCTGATATACACAAATCATGTACGGTAACAAAATAAATATTTGCATTCCATGGGGACATTCACTCACATACAATATGACATGAACTGAAGAATCACGTGTGGGGTGATTTAGTGAGCGTTATATGCGAGCATCAACATTGCAGATGTGCAAAACGTCCTTACAATTTAAATAAGGATTTAATACGTATATACATAAAGACATGGAAGCTACATATTTCTGGGATCATATGTTTTTCCCTTTTTCACCATGAGGGTGGTTGGACACGGCAGATGGTGCACGGAGCCTTTCCAAACGGCTGAGGTGTTTGTCTTTAAAGATAAAAAGGAAAAGAAGAGGGGAATGAAAAAAATGAAACAAGGCTCCATGTCTCCACCTGTGGTCAGTCTCAGTCACTGCATGGTCAGCCATATCCAGCAGCCCCACAGCAGCTGCTTCATATGCAGCAGGTAGACAGCCAGAGCGGCCTCCAGCTCCTCGCACACTCGCTGTGGGCGCCGGCGGTCTGTGCAGTACATGGCCACACCCAGGAATGACATCAGCAGGAAGAGGCAAGTGAAGAGGGCGAGGTGGGGGCGGGACGGCGTCGTCTCATAGGCTGCGTACGGAGAAACAGATTTTAACAGTTTCGATTGGTACATGAGGACTGGAATGATCACATGCTCAGATCTTTACTGTCAAGACCTTGGAAGAGACTGGTTTGTGATTTAATGTGACGGCACATCTAGAGTGTAGAGAAGACAAAGCTGTGCTTTCTGTGTCCCACACATTATAAAGTGGGTTATAATAAACTCCAGTTGGCATGGCAGTGAAAACAGTGAACAACACAATTTAAACCTCACCACTAAACTAAATTAATTTCCTTGCTGCTTAATTAAATCCAGCATTAAAAAGTGCAGTGTTGTTTCAGCTCCCTCATGCAAATGCACCCAGTGGCTCTGCACACTTCCAGATAGACTTACCACCTAACCAGTCACAGCGAGGGATGTCTGCGGAGCCGACAGAAAACAGGCCAGTCAGTCAACAAGAGGCGACCTCTGTGATGTACAGCAGCTACAAACCAGCTGCTGGGCCCTCATACACTGCGCTATCTCTCTGCAGCAGACTTCATGGGGCCTCATTTGCATGCATAATTAATCAGGAAGAGTGAATCACTTGCTCATGTTTGGACGTCTCTTGGCTTTACATTATTTTTAAATAGTGCAGAATCCCCCAGAGGGAAACAGTTTACGATGCTACGCAGGGATGTTTTGATGCCTTTCAGTTCTCCCTCCTTTCTGCTGAGTAGGTATACAACACTGTTACATGTGGGTTGAGGGCACTACTTAAAATGGGATGGTACTAATTTTGTGAAATGAATGGCTTCATAGTGTTGCAATGTCAGTGCATTCTCTTTTACATGTCCCTGTAAATGTAGAGCTGCAGACAGGCTGCAGAAAATCCATCCATCACCTTTACTGCTTATCCTTAGAGGATCACAGGGAGAGCTGGAGCCAATCCCAGCTGTGATGGGTGAGAGGTGGGGCACACCCTGGACACGTTGCTAGTATCACAACATACAGAGACACATTTTGATTTCCAGTGAACATAACCTGTCTGTGGACTGTGGGAGGGACAGTGCAAACCAAGGTATGCACAATGTGGATGATATCCAGTGTGGGGGAGGTGCTGCAGCACCTGAGGGCAGTGCAACTTCTCTGGTTGTACAAACATGTCTGACAGACTCTGAGCAGCTGCAACTTAATGTTCTCACCATGTACCGTGGTCTCTGGCTCTCGGAATCGAACCCTCCGCTCGCCTTTCCGCCTGTGGTTCAGCTCCGCATCTGACCCATAGTTGGGACTTGGCCTCTTTAGAATGGAGGTGGGGACTTTGCCATTGGCTACCTGCATTAGATAAAAGTCAGGAAAAGAAATACTCATCACAAGCTCCAGAGAAACAGTTAAGGGCAGCAACACACAGCTGAGACACAGAGAGAGAAGCCTGCAGACGCTTTACCTTAGGTTTCGGTGTGTCCTCCTGTTGGTGGCGGCTGTCCTTTCTGTGTCGGACCTCTGAGTGTTTCTCCCGGTGGGAGTGAGGAAGACAGTTGACAGTGTCTCTGATGGACTCTGCAGCAGCAAAGCGTTTGGACAGTGCAGACACACACTGACCCAGGGAGTCTAGAAAGAGAACCATGACCACACGGTACATGAGTGGTTATCTAGCGCTGTCTCACAATGGAGTTTACACGAGGCGAAGTTAAATATTCAAAGTGAAACATGCAAATGTGACAGAGAGAAGACACCAGTGTTGACTCTGTCGGCTCCAGGTAGAACTAGGTTTAAGTTACAAACACTGATACGAGGAAAGTCGGAGAAACTCTTTTATCCTCAATCTCTTTGCACTAAAAGCTGGAGATATTTACCAGATTTACATATTGAATTGATTTCATCACACATCTGAAAATACAGTCGATGCACCATCCCGCATTTAAAAAAAGGAAAAAGACTCAGCCTTGTTGCTGGTTCATTTCTTTTGTCTGAATGTTTCTCCTCTCAAACTGAATGTAAATGTATTATGTCTGAATGATCAATGATTTAATCAGTTGATAAGTGAATCTGCTACTGTTTTGAATCATTCACAACTATAGTGGTCTAAGGTTGATTAAAAGAAAGAGTCACATAGCAAAAATGTGGGGTAAGTATTTTTATTTAAAAAAAAAAAAAATCTTTATAAAAGACAAGACTTTAACAGTAGGAGCACCCCAGATGATTAGGGGGACGAGGGCGAAAAAGGACAGAGGGTGATGTCTTTTTGTTGACGGGAGAGAAGTCTGAAATTTTTGATTGAGGAAGGACAAATCTTTTTAACATTTTATCATAGTCTTTTTCTTCCACACAGAGCTGCTCCTTGTTGCTGGTTATTTATTGCTATAATTCCTTATGAGACAGATTCTGTGAATGTTATTCTATGTATTATGTTTAAAAACTTTCAATTTACAAATGTTCTTTCCACATCAGGGCAGCAATATGTAATTATTTCAAACATTCAAAAAAGAACTGGATTTTGAACATAGTGTGAAGAAACAGTATTTACTGATGTTTGCATTCTAACCAGCGAGCCCGCACCTGTCTTGTAAAACCAGTTTGTAAATCAAGAGGCAGTAGTGAGTCACTGAAGCGTTCAGGTCTACGTCCAGCATGAGAGGAGAAGTAGCTGTGAGTAAACTATGAACATGTGTTGCAGCCATCCACCTTTACTCTAAACACATCTTCCCTGTCTCTGCGTGGGCTTGAAATCGTCGTCAGCGTCAGTCTAACATTAACTGAAGATAACAACCAGCTTCATAATCAGATAACAATGCAAACCTATGAGGAAAACATTGTTACCTAATCCATGCAAGTTTGTCAACCTGTCAACAGTTGTGATTGGCCAGTGAGCCAAGTCCCCAAACATGAACATGGTGCACTGTCATGGACACCCTCAATGACACGCACAGAGATGATGGCCCACAGATGCAGAGGCCCACTGGCAATGAACGTGGGGAGAAGAGACCAAAGACTGCAATTCCTTGTTTCACCTGTACTTTCTAGTAATATGCTGCCCCCCATTTGTTTGGATCTGACAGTGCCAGTTATTATATGCTGCCTCTTGGTGTTTTAATGATGGTGTTAAAATTTTTAAATGTAAGCAATACATTTTAATGGACTTCCGTGTCTAAAAAAGTGAACCATGATGTTCAGCTGCTAAAATAAGTACTACGTTTCAGAATATCTCAAAATATTCCCACACACTGCTACATAACGTAGAGTCTAAGTACATCTGATTAAGTGTAATTCAAACACAAATAGTTTGGCAGCAGATGGAGGCTGACTGACTCAGTGAGAGGAATCTGGGTAAAACAGCTGTAAGCACTTCTCACTTAAAGCATTGCGCTGTGGGTCAAAGAGGATTTCTCTGTGTACAATACAAAGCAAAAGGTCACGAGAAGTGTGCACGTGTGGACTGATGTGCAGCAACAACTATAACCGCTCTCTGACCCCCACACATGTTCACCCTCCGAGGTGGAAAAACAAGGAATAACAGTAAATCTGTGTCTGTGTGTGCTGAATGCAGTTGTCTTCATGCAGCTGGTTGTGTTCAGCTCCACTGACTCTGAAAGCTGACTCAACAACAAGGCTGGTTTCTTCATACTGCTGGGTTTTTTGTATTTTACAGCAGTGTTCACAAAAATGCAGAAAGTTCAGAGTCAGTGTTGCTCTCTCTTAATGCAAGCCCAGCAAACACACGTACTGTACAACAGCACCGTGCCCTCAAACTGTCACACTTCTTTTTGTTGCTCTGCATAAAACCACTCGTGTCCCCAATAAAAGCAAGTTTTGATTAATTTAACAATGTAATGGGTTGAGGTTTAGAGGCTAATGGAAGTATCTAGTACGTTAATGGTCTTGACATTAACAGCACTGTTCAGGTATTGTCATGCCTCACATGTGTCAGACTGAGCGTTTAACAGTGTTAAATGGCTGAGAAAGGCGTCCTCAGCTATTGTTTTCTGACTCATGCAGCCATGTTTGTTTTTCACTGTCTATTAGTCTGCCTGCGGTCGTCCCCCTCATGTCGCAACATTGCTCCAGAATGATAGTGGTGTTTGCTGTTCCAACCTCTGTCCCCACTGAGTGTTTACCTGAATATTCAGTCTTGCCAATCTCAGCATAGACGGTGGCCATAAGCTCCAGGCTCCTGGCTGTGATTGGGTGGTCATTACCAAAGGCCCTCTGGTGGATCTTTGTAGCCTGAAAGATTCAGACGGATTTCGAGTTTACATTTGAGCAACATAAATTATTGTATTTGTTCTAAAATCGGAATCGGAAGCAAAGAGAATGAAGAAGCGTACGCACCTTACCGCTGTATTCCAGAGCGAGGTGAGGTCTGAAAGGAAAAACAATAGGAGATAGCACCATTAAACAACTGCACTACCACTTCTTTTTCTGTGGAGGTGGAGTAAAATCATGTGCAGTCTTTAAAACAATCATGTGCAGTCTTCAGATGACTCTGGATTATCAGATGGATTATATCTGCACATTCTTCTTCCATCTGAAAACATAAATACATTAACTATTTTCCAAAGACGATAACAACGCCTGATCTTAATCGAGTGCAGTGGCTCGGTGCTGCATTACAAGGTGAGTGTATCTGTTTCATTGTTTTGAATGCAGCAGCATGACGAATCTAAACATGTGTGTGCTGTGATTGGACAGAGCGCAGGGCTCCAGGCAGCCGGCGCCTTACGGAGGAACTTAAACCTTTTATTTCTGCCAGCGCTGGCTGCCCCTGTCTTCTGTCCAGGGTGAATTACAGAAGGCATGGGGCTTACAGGTTGGTTTACCAACTCGTGCCCTTCCACCACTCCTCTGCTTAGCGCTAAACTAGGTTAACATGATGTGTCTCATTGAGAGTTTGCCAGCTGTTCTCCTCATATCTGCACCGGAAAGCCAGCCAAGGACATTCATCACCCTCACACCCTCACGTGTGCCTGTAGATGTAGAGCAAGCTCTGTTTAGTGTGACAGATGTCAGCTTCGCTGTTCCAAACCCACACTTCCCTTTCAATTAGTAATGGCCAGGTGTCAGTTTGCTCTGCTTTAGGTCTTTCTCAGGGGATATCTGATCAGCAAAGACAGAAAAGCTCTTCGCTGGCTCAAACAACTTCCTGCGACTGAAAAACTATCCAGAAAGTTTCAGGAAGTATTACTACTTCCTGTTGGAAGGAAATAAAAACCAGGGCTGGAGATTATGGTGGAGGGAGGGATTTAAGACCATTCTTCTAGTTTGTGTTTTCTTTCATCACTGGGTAAATTTCTCTAATCTACAACAAGAAATCAAAGAGCAGAATCCTATTTCAAACCATCTCATCTAAGTTTAATTACTGCTTACTCTGTGCATTAATGAAGGCCTCTCTAGAGCAAACCTCCTGCCCTCTGTCACCCTGGCAGTCAGGTTAAATGACCTATTCTCAACAGTTGACAACAGGGGCACAGAAAATTGGTGCAAGCTATGGCCTAACAAAGTACCCCTGCAACAGGAGACACCAGATCCTGTTAAGGTGTTCCTCCTGTAACACTCACGTTGAGTGCGGTGTCTCTTTTCTCTACATCTACAGGGAAATTCAACTCTGGCTAAAAATACTTGGAGCTTGAATTTATCTCGCTCAGAAAATTTCCACTCCAGAAAGACGAATGTGTGGACATGCAGGTGTAAACGCTCACATTGTTTTTAGCCTGTAACCAAAATGTCCCATCTGTGACAGAGGAAGTGCAATGTTGACTTGTACTGAAATTGACTTGCACTCATGAAATGTTAATAAAAGCAAATATATACATAGTTTAACTGTCTTACAATTTTAACCAAGTAAGAATCTGTAAAATATTTATTTAAAATTAATTTCTGTCTGATATGTTTACTTTATTTAACATTATCTGTCATATCACACTGAGCTGCTTACGTAATAAAACTGATAACAACCAATATACTGTTTGCTTAGTTACACCTGAATCTGCACCATATTTACTTAAGCTCTATGAAATGATAAAAGGCCAAAAGCAACCACTCACATATATGATGAAATAATACATACTGTATTTTAACCCTATATAAATTGGCAAAAGTAACCTTAAACCTACTCATAATGAGCCTACAGAAGATATAACAAACATTACAGCAGGACACAGTTTTACCTACTGTTTGCTCATGATGCAGAGCTGAGCCAGCCGCTCGAGGTGCTGAGCCTGGGAGGCCTGCTCCGACAGCTCCTCTGGGGACGTCCATCCTGCAGAGCCCAGCGTAGCCTCCTCCTGAGGCCCTGTTATACACACACAGGGCATGGAATCACAGTCAGTAACCACTCAAGTCTTGCTATCTATCCCTCTCTCCTCACTATTATTTCCTCTCTGCTACTGCACGGTGTTTGAAAAAAAAAAAAAGCCAGAGTATGTGGCACAGCCTGTCGGTGCACTGCTGCAGACTTTAAGCCTGAGCAGCAGAGTGGAGCCGACTGAGGACGGGAACTGAGAGAGCAGAGATAAGGGCAGGAGAGAGCAGATAAGTGAGTCAAACAACACACTCGCCACGCCCACTGGAACACTGAGACACACACACGTATGCACATGGTGACACACCACAAACATACAGTCTGTACTGGACACACCAAGCACACAATGATGGAGGAGGAAATGGGTTGGGATTGCAATTCGTGCAAAGAGAGAAGGCAAATAAATCATGGGAAATGGTAAAGACTTTTGTTTGCATTCTAAGAACCACAGAATGACAATCACAACAGCTGTCAGTGGGGACCAACAGGAGGAGGATGTATTTGAGAATACACTGGGGGAGAGAAAGGAAGCTTGTAAAGTGCAGCTCCAGCGCCAGCTCTGCCCCTGGAGGGGTCCAGCATTCAATCTGAGTGAGTGCTGAATCAGGGGCCTCAGTATTCTATGGCGACACATGGCTCCTAATGAGATAGTGTAAAGTGCGGCCATTTGTCTTCCACTACGCCCGTCTCCGACCTCCGCTGTGCCCACGCTACGCTGCACTGCTGCCTCAGCAGCAGACACAGAGGAAGAGGTAGACGTCTGGAGCGGCGGCAGTAGCAGGTGATGAATGAGCGGCCTTGCGGTGAATGCTCATTTAAAGCTCCACCAGGTTTATCGTAAACAAAGATGGAACGGGATGAAATGAGACTTCATTTCATATCCGCTTAATAAGTTAATAGTAACAGATTTGGGAGGAGTTACAGAAAAACAGTGAGTGTATTATTTGCTGGTTAGTCTGTAGCAGGTTACAAGTGACTCTGGAAAGCTGCCAAATACAAACAGAGTGTGAACAGCTTCACTAACAGTCTCAAAATCTAAAATGAAATGAGATTCAACAGATTTACATACCTTTCAGAGGAATATCATAAGAAAATATTAATAATCAATTTGAATATTAATAATGTCCTCATGATTTCCCATTAATTTCTTCAAAGTTTCCTAAGAGATTAAGTTCTATTTGTATAATCACGGTTGTCTAGGAAGCTTCCTAGAAAATGAAAGGAAGATAAACATGCACCCTCAAAGAAGATGATTTATTAGAAGCTGAACAATATACATACCCGTTAATATTTACAAAAGTATATTCATCAGTAACATAATGTCAGAAGTACTTGCCTGTGCTGCCCTGAAGAGCTGTGAGCTCGATCAGTGCCACCTCATAGAACATTTTTTCAGCCTGGATGAACTGGAGGGCCTTCCCATCTGTTTATATGGGTGAAGGATGGGTCTCAGTTGTCAATGGGATTAGTCAGTTGTTGATGTTAAAAACAGCCTTGTTGCCCAACTCGAACGCAGCCTTTTTATTTTTTATTTCCATCCCTCTGAGGATGACCCTTTTGGGGGCAAGCGGAGAGCGCGGTAACCCAAAGCAGATTGTTGAGGTTTGATTTAGGAAACACAGATTTCACAGGCGGCTAACTCCATTGTTTTTGTGCTGTTATCTGCTGTTTTTTGTAACTTTATGTTTGCTGAAACTCAAAATACAGTTGTAACTGATTATATTTCGTATCTCTGTCTTTTTTTCCATGCTTTGTCCAGCCTCGTTCTGATTTATGTGAATACCAGTTTTTTTTTTGTTTCCATTCAAAGACTCTATTTAAAACCACCTAAAAATAGAGCCTGTTCACTTAGTCAAAAGCATTTCTATCATGTTGTGTCCGTGCCGCGGTAAAATGACACCATTGATGCTTGTCAGGTGAATTTAAAGACCAATGGGACGAGGAATGCTTAAAATAAACACAGCCCTGCCTAAGTAAATGTCCTACTTAACACCAGAGCTCTCATCTGTAAAGCAACATTTGTTCCATTCGAGCTACTTCACTTTCGATGACCATACTTGCCAATTATACTTCAATATATTTACAGTATTAAACTGAGGTTGTAAAGATGGGCAGTAGTTTTCCACTCTCCACAGGAGAACAGTTAATCTTGGAGATGAAAACCGAAACAGCTGGTTTCCTTCATTGTGTCACCAGGAGAATAATGTCAGCTCTCCACACTACTGAACAAACCGAAACTAAGGCAAACTACACATCCACTGAGTAAACTAAGACACTGTTAGCATTAAAACTGTAAACACAATGTGGTCCAAAAAGACAGCTTTCATACAGAAATATTAAAGATAGAACAATATAAGAAGCAAATACATACATGGTCCTGATCCGCACCAAAATTGATTGAGTTCTTTATCGACACATACTATAGCCTTCCACCAAGTTTCATGAACATCTCTTAAATTGGTTTTGTGTAATCTTGCTTGCAAACAAACAAATATACAAACCAACAAACCAATGGACACAGGGGGAAACCATTAGCTCCTTGGCGGAAGTAATAATGTTAATGGTGAGTAGACACCAGAAAAGATGGTGGATGCTAAAGGATGGATGTTGAAAGTAGATGTACATGTGAATAATTCAGTGTACAGTGCATTAAGAGATGTCAGAGCAGCCCATCATGAAAACCCAGCTTTTTTAATAACATGAAACTCCCTGGGATTTACATCATTATTGCGCACAATAGCACAAATGTGGTTTTGATGTTTTGAATGAATCCTGAGAGAAATTAAAGGATGATTAGAAATGCATTATTCCCGGTGTCGCAGTTCCAGGGAGTCACCTGCCGGCCTGAAATAAGATGAGTATGAGTGTGAGCACATGGGAGCGAGGATTAGGAACAGTCTTCATCAAAGGTCAGAGCCCTCCTTCTGCCGGCTATTCTTAGCCTGGCAGGACCACAACAATGCCACAACAGGAACCTCACGCAATCCTCTCCAGGGACCAGGCTGACCTCACATACACACAAATACACACACACACACAGCATTGAATTGTAATCGGACTGCACTTCAAACCTCGACAGGAACTTACACAGGCACCTTCAAAATGCACATCTGATCTGCTGTATAACCTCACCGAGTTCACTGTCTCAGTCTTCTCTAGAGGAACTGGGTTTTCCTGTAGTATTTCATCACCTCCGCCAAGGAGGCTATTTTTGTGTTTGAAGATGACACAAAAACAACTGGATGGATTTCCATTAAAGTTGGTGGAAAGATGGGACACAGGCCAAGAAGAAAGAACTCATAAACTTTTTGTTCTGAGCCTAATCAGAGGGTTGATCCAGGAATGTTTGTGGTACAGTTGCAGCTTAATACCCCTCACCTCACCCTCCCCTTGCAAACCTGTGAAGCCTTCAGTTGTCATTCAGGTGTTAAGTATGTCCAGTTTGGACTACAGTCAAAAACATGAAGGCCTCCGTTGAGAGGATCCGCTTCCAATGCAGATATAAAAGGGCTCCTTCTAGCATAAAGAAAACAACAATTTGTACAGTTTAGATGAAACACCAGTAAAAACATCACTAGGAGTATTTTATATTCAATTTCTGCCAATAGATCCTTTAAATGTGAGACAACTATATATGGTCTTATGACTATCTACTAGTTTCCAAGATGAATATTGACCTAAACATAGTAAATGTGCAGGTTATTATCGAGAATTCTCATTTATTTGAGACTGAAGTCAGTTTTTCCAGGTCAGTAGACTTTCCATGAAACATGTATCAGTAAACACTCAAAAGAGCTTTTGGCTTTGGACAGAGGTCACTTGTGCACAAGCTACCCGCTCTGATAACAGCACATCAAACCTTGAGCGGTCACGGTCACTATCAACTGCACATATTTGTCTGGATTAAAGCCAATGGAACATGATGGAATCAGGATTCTATGAATAGGATGATTCAGTTTTGTTTACTAATTGTGGCTTTGGTCAGACTGAGAGACGACATGTGAGGAGACACTGCAGAGAGTTGTTGTAAACATTCTTGTGAATTAGCTTAAGTTCCCACATCCTGCTTCCAGTTTGAGCATGACAACCCTTCACCCTCCTCTCTGAGGGACCATCTCAGAGATCACAACATCGCTGCTTTACAAAACTGAAGGAACTGCCGGAAACATTTCATGGGAAAGGTCCAAATCTTTTTAAACAACACAACAATCATTAACAGAAAACTAATTTTAATACTAAATAATGATGTTATTTGTTTATACACTATCTTCTCTTGTTTGTTTTCTGATTACATATGTTTTATGTCTTTTATATACTTCAATAAATAATATAACGTCATTATCACCTTTGGCAAGGAGGTTATGTTTTTGTTTGTTTGTTTGCAGGACTACGCAAAAACTACTGAGCAGATTACCATGAAACTTGGTGTAATGATGAGGTATGGGTCAAGTTTCATTTTGGTGCAATCTATTTTCTCTTTCTTTAACATTGTGAGAACATTTGGTTTTCCCAAATTGTTCTGCATTTCTCAAGAAATAATGCAGAGATCTATCTGGAAAAAAATCTGACAGATGAAATTTTGTGCAGACCTGGATAATGATCCAAATTTAAGTTAAGTAATTTAATAGAAGGGGTATTTCGCCTGTGTTGGTATTGTTTTTAACAGTTTAAATAAAAATTCTGGCTACATGGCATTTGTATCTGATGCAATACAGGATTACACAACAACTTCTGAATTTATTTCCATGAAAATTACATGAAACAGGCCGACCCAGAAATTCGAGAGAGACCGTTAGCCTTGGCAGAGGTATACGCTCTACTAAGTGCCATCCTAGTGTAAATATTTCTTCTTTGCTCCTCAAACATGAAACAGTGTAAGATGTGGTTACGTTCTCATGGCTGTAATCTAATACACTACAAGTACAGAACATAACATGGTAACTGTATCATACATAAAAACGCCACAGATGACCCAACATGACACCATTACTATTGATGATGTGATGTAATATTGGACTGTATGTCAAAAGATTTAACCCCCCGTCATGGTAGACGACCCTCTTAAGCAGCTACCGTTTCATTCTGGGACTCTGAAGGCTATTGGTGGAGCTCAGCTCAGCAAATTGACCTATTTTGGAAAACGGACAGTGAGGGGGGGGAAGAGCCTCGCCGAGGTAGATAACATGAGCTGGCAAGTTAAGTGTTGGAGTGTCTCAGTGACGGGGGAGAGGAGCCGTGGAGGTAATCTATCCTGAAACCTAACACCTCTCTATTACCTCTATGCTTTAGTTTATAGAGGCAGTGAATTGGCGATGCATGGGCTAGTCAGTGCAGATACAGGTTAATTAGTGCTCTCCCACTCTGTTGTGTGGAGATAAGAGCCTACAAATCCTCTTAAGAGACAGACACAACCTGAGCGACACACACAACGTGCGGCATTCTGGGACAAACCTGTTATTATGAACTTGCCCAAAGACATCCACTCATCCCTCTCGCCTTACACAGCTTCCCATAAAGGCTCTACATGCTCCATTGTGCTGGAATTTGCAACAGCCGCCTCCAATCACAATCCTTTACACATTCACCTCTCAGGAATAGAATGCTAGTTTTATAGTTAGCCGCTTGCTAACGCTTATGGGACAGTGGAAGTAAAAGTCAGCTGTGTGACAGCGAGCGGAGAAAGGATACAATTCTTTTCAGTGATGAAGAGCTCTGCAATCTGTGAAGCACAGAAAAACAGGGCATGGATGAGCATTAAATCATTAATTTACAACAAGATTCCTGTGTGTGTGTGTGTGTGTGTGTGTATGGATGATGTCATGGGCTGTCATAACAAGTAATTCAGCTCTCCTCACAGCCCCATCATTGTAGTCGACATCATACCAGGCATTCCACAGTTCTGGAGTAAAGGCCGTGTTTTGACATCACAGACGTTCCTTCACTAAACATAACGAAAACTGTAGATTTGTCTTTGCTGGATGGGCCTTGTAAAGTATCTCAGTGTGTAACCTGTGATACCAAAACACTAATGTCCGAGACCTCAGAAATAGCAAAACATAGCCCACACACACACACACACACACACACACACACAAACACACACACAGTAGAACAGACAGTATGAAACACCTCATTTAGCAGCATGCACAGTCCTTCTGAGGCAGATATTATCGTATGTGTCAACACTGGGACACATGACGGACTGTGCTGTTAGATTTGACATTGGTGTTTGAGCTAAAGGTTGACTGCATCCTGTTTATGATGCTCGAAAGGAAAAGTGATGCAGATAAGCTGTGCAAACACGAGACAGCACATTTTGTAGACGGATGTAGTGAGGATGTACAGGGTTGTGTGTGTGTGTGTGTGTGTGTGTGTGTGTGTGTGTGTGTGTGTGTGCTCCCAGTCCTCATGTGGCTCACCTGGTGAAGGCAGTTGGGCAGAGAGGTGAAGGTCTGCACATGGGTCAGTCCCAGCAGGCAGCTGAGGAAGCAGTGGAGGGCGGCCTGGTACTCCCCCTGCTGCTGGAGCTGCTGTCCCAGCTCGAACAGGCCCTCCCTCCCCCTGTTCAGCATCCCCAGTCCCAGCCAGAGCCAGCACTGCCTCCCATCAGAGCTCCAGCAGCTGAGGACGAACGCTGCTCTTCACGCCACTCCACTGAAGGCACCACAGGTAGAAAGACACAGCCACACACCAAGTGAGAGGTGGAGAGAAAAAATGCATCGACACAGACAAAACAAAGGCTGCTGGAGGATCAGTGAGCAGCTTTCTCTCAGTCACGTCTGAGCACAGTAAGTCAAGGACAGGTGGTGAGGAGCCGGCTGAGGGAGCTCCGGAGACTCACACTGAAAAGATCCATTCCCCTCCCTCCTCCCAGGCTGCACCAGGAAAGGAGGACAGAGGAAGTCTGAGAGCATTTGCTGTTTGATTGGCAGAGCTCTGCACCAATCCCTGCTCTGCTCTCACACAGTAGCTCCGCCAGAGTGTGTGTAGCACATTGTGTCTCTCTCCAATCCTACAACAGGGAAACTGCAAGGATGTTTGTTTTGATGATGAAAAGCAAACAGTGTGCACATGTTCTGTATTTTATACATAAATATAATTTTCAGTGAAACTCAAATTTCATCCAGTGTTAAGCCAAAATGTCCCTGCTGCTGTGCATTCACCAAGCTGTGCATCATGTACAGTGCATCCACAGTCTGTGAGAGAATCATTTCAAGTCCTGCTGCCACATGATTTATAAATGAGGAGTGCATGAGAGCATCCAAACCGCGGCGAATGCTGCGTGAGCATGTTTTACATCACCACAGAGGAACCAGGCTTTTGTAAATTGTCTTAAAAGCAAATGGGAGAGCTGATGTATACACATGGTCATTACGATAGACTATCCAAACAAGGACAACAAATATTTATCCACGAGGAGTGCCCTCTCTGAATGTTTGCTCGCTTCCCTTCACACTCTGCTAATCAACGTTAATGTGAGGCCAATCTGTGCCTGGGGAGAGGGTGAGGGAGCAGAGAAGAAGAGATGTGGCCCCAGCTCTGATGATCTAAAGGATCATGAATGCCTCCCGACTTTGAGAGCAGCACCCCTCCCCACCCTCACTCCATTTGGACACGAGGGTGGTGACTGGGGGGAAATGAATGGGGGGGGTAACACAAAGCAAACGGGCAGAGTCAGTCTCCATTACTGTCCGTTGCACCCAGCTAAGCAAAATGGGATTTTAATGGCTGTGAACGCCAGTGAATGGGGGGGGGGGGGGATCACAGTATTAAACTTGCTCTGGCAGGTCAGACTCAGGGAGCTGTAAACGGTGCTCGTTCAGGACTAACAGCATCCAGAGCAGCCGTGGGACTTGATTATGTTGACGCAGGCCACATTACTGTCTCCATCCACAGGAGTGGGGTCACCCACAAGTGATTGTATTCACTGCATGCGCTGTGGCGTCGGAACGCAGGAACAGAGCTTCTGATGCGATTGAGTTGAAGGGACACTGCAGGCCCATCGTCTGGAAATGAAAAAGAGTGGGCTCAGTTTCCTTATTACAGGCCAGTCAGGCTGATCAGACACACATCAGCTGTGGGGAGATGTGCTCCAAGTTGTCGTCTTCATGTTAACAACATCTGACAACAACCGCACAACAAAGGGAAGCCCACTCGAGCAGGACTGCGACTGTTAACCGCCAAAAAAAAGTGTTAACCATATAATGCGGCATAATATGATATCTGATATGATGACAGTTTGACAATATGTAATATCATATAATCACTGTGCTTGCCATGTTTGTTTATGTTGGGGAGTAAGTAACATGAAAAAAGCTTTTGCTAGCTCTTGGCTGCTTTATTTGACAGGACAGAGTGTGAATGAGGGACAGAGAGAGAACAGGGGGTGACATTCAGCAAAGGGACACAAGATGGAATCGAGCTCAGGCCGCTGGAGAGGCTTGTAGCCTCATTACGGGGCACCAGCTCTACCAGGTGAGATGTGAAGGTTTTATGTGAACTAACTTTTTCTGTTTTTTAAAAGCAGATTAAACTGAATACACAAGTTTGTGCTGAAGCAACCTTTTTATATTTTGAAGGAATTATTATGCTCAACCAGTTTACATTTTTAAGTATAGAACTGAGAACAACAAATGTGTAAATACAAAATAAAAGTAATTCACCATGGAGTTGGAGTTTTTTTTCTGGGAAGTCCATTAATGAACCTCCTATTGTCATTATTATTATTATTGTTATTGTATTATTGTTTTTCCATTATCGCAAATGCACATTTTCCAGTAGAAAAAGCTTTATATTCTGTTAACATCAATGTAAGTCCTTTATAGTATTTTGGAGTCTATCAGTGTGAGGAGTCAAACAGAATACTTAATAATTCTTAGGTGATATGTTTAACTTTATAATAACAAAATAATACACTAGTGCATAGAGGCCAAAACAGAACAAAACTGTATGTCAGAAGAAAACCTCATACTTGTAGCTGTCAATATTCAATTTTCTTTACTTTGTAATTGTTAGTAATATGTTTATCGCTACGCCATGGACCAAGGGTCACTTTGAGATCTGGTGATTCAGTCCTTTATTGCTACAATAAATACAAAGGGAGTCTAAAAAATACAGGACAAGTCTGTAGAAATTGCAAATGACACAGAAGGTCTGTAAAAAAATCAATGTATCTGCTTCAGTTTCAGGGCCCTGTCCTATTGTGTAACCTCACTGTGATGATTTTCTGGGGAACAGATTCATCATAAATGTTCTGAAAAGCAGTAGTAACCTGTGCTTTTCTTGCTATGACAAGTCAAAATGGTTGCTGTGAAAAACGCATGTGGCTGAACCCGTGTATATCGGAGGCTGGACAAGTGTTCGGTCGTGGTGAAGATTTGCATTTTACCAACGTCTGTCTGGTTTTCTAACATCCTGATATAAATTTACAGGCTGGAGGATTGACTTATTTGACTTGCTGGAACCACACGGACGTAGATCATCTGCTCGCACCTTTTTTGTAAATGTGCCGACAGTCACTTTGACAAAGATACTGACTGATGTCCACCATTCTACAGTGGAAGAATGGAAATCTACCTGTAGTTGGAATATTGATCACCTGTCTCATGGAGTCGGTAGACAAATACATCAGAGTGATCAGTAAACACTGTCCACTACAGCTGTACCCAGGGAAGCCAATAGAGCAGACTAATGTAAATGAATGGTGAGCAGCTCCTGCAACAGAATGCTAAGCAGAACGAAACAGCTTCTCCCACAGATATAAATCTAACACCAGCTGCTTATTGCAGCGCAGTAAACCTCAATATATTCAATTAGTGTGAATGCTTTGTGTAATCCATATTTACAGTGTTCCACATATTGAGCTGAATAATACACCCACATGAAATAATTGCATCTTGCAAATAAAGTAACTACAAAACTCGTGATGTTGCTATGATCTTCTTTTTCTGATTAAAATCAAACATGGTCTTTTCTTTTATTCTGAAAATCTCCACATCTCCACTTTAGAGAAAGTCTGTGGATATTTGCACGTTCCACTCCTTGACTTATACGACAAAGGTTATGGATCTCAGATGATTCAGTGGGCCATTTGTTAGAATAATGCATTTTGCACTGTCCAGCAGTTCTGCAGAGGAACATTGCCTCTCCCGTGTCCTCTTGTCATTTCACGACACTGCGCATGGCCCTAAATCAGCATATACTATTTATATTTCCTGCATTGTGCACATACAGCCACTCAATGCAGTTTTGCTGCAGCCTAGAGGTATAGAATATTTTACCCCGTGTGAGTGACAGTGGCTATATGTCCCTCGCTGGAGTAAGCTAGCTTCAATGATGTGAGGAGAAAATCAAGTATTCTGTGTTGGTATAAAGCACCAGAGTGATCCTGGCCTGCAGGGCTGCAGCAACATATATTGATGTAGAAGTTTGTGGAAAACACAACATGCATTGTTACAGACATGAAACCGTAACTCTTTGTTAAATCATCTACATTGTGTGTGTGTGTATTCTGGAAGTTGGAGCCTGTCGTCTTGGCCCACAGTTAAAAACCCGTCCACTCTCCAGCAGGTGCAGCTGCATCCCTGGAAGACTCAGGCTCTGGCAGGTTTATACGCTTGGACCTCACACCCCCAGCTACTGAGAGGCACTTTATGACCTCCATGTAATCAGCAGTAAATGCTGCCACCATCTGTCTCTTTTTACTCAATTATCTGACCCACTGACTTTTACTGAACACTGTCCAGGTAAACACAGCAATGCAAGTCTCCCAGCTCAGACCCTGACACATCTATACATCACCTCACTCTCTTTTATGATTTCTTTCTGGTCCCATCTTCCAGTCGGAAGTAAATGCCGTCCTTCAATATTGAACGACAAAGCCCCCCCCCAAAACTCACTTATCAGCCACCTTTTTGTACAATTAAAGGTGTGCAGGCGTTATTACACCAATCCTGTTTCATTGTCACATACAGTACACACAACAAACCTTGAGCCAGACCTGTTTTAAAAGTCCTTAAAGAAAACAGACAATTCAAGTTCAAATCTATACATGAAGAATTGTTGATTATAGGGAATGTCTTACATACAGCCTCTCTGCTGAGCTCACTATCTTTTACTCCACTCTGGCACCCCCTAATGGACAATCCATGGAAGTTAAACACTCTCAGACTCTTCAACTCACAGTGCATATTTCCACCAAGGCCCACTTCCCTTGAGATACAACATTTAAATTCACTTGATTTTTATTTGGACCCACACCAATCAACACACGCTCATAGATATGAGTTCCCTGAAAATGTCTGATTTATTAATTATTCTCTGATGAATATGGTTTGAATGACTTTCATAAAAATAGAAGCATCAATTCTAAGTGACAGCAAAAGAACAATAAATGTATTCCAACTCTATTGATTAATGCTGATATGAGGCAGAAGTACTAAGTCTTTATTCATGACTGGTTTTCAACAACCTGTTAAGAATTAGCCTAAATTTAAAGGGTTTATAAATCTGAGTAAATCGGGTAAAACTCACCTGAGAGAAGTAATTGATGCTATAAATCTATGAAGGTCCACGTGTCTCATGGCCTTCTTCACTCATTCTGAGAGCACAGGGCCGTCTGTGGGTAAAAACAGAGTCAGGCTTCGTGTTTCTGTGCGTGGGCAGTTAGTTAATAGAAGACATTATGTGTCAGAGGACAGAATTTACATCTGACCGTTGAATTCATCGGATTATTACAAACTGTAAGTCATCTGTGACAGCCACTCAGATGTAACTGCTGGCTATTTGAGATTGTCACCTTCTCCCACACACTCTCTGATACTCCCTGCTAAACACGTCTTCTGAAAAGCCTTTTCTGCTTCTTTACTAAACCTGGGCATATTGTGATCACCATTTCTCCAGGGGGACGGGAGATAATGAGAAAACCAATGAGAAAAATCACATTAAATTATATGAAAAGAATCCCAGGTTAAGTAGGTAATAAAACTAATAAATACATATGGTAGAATACAAACATATGAGCAATTATGCATTCAAGCTATAGCTCCAGCAGAAACTGTGTTTACCAAACAGGATTTGATACCTGTGGAATTTTTAAGTGATGCTCAGTTACATTTCTGGATACAAAGGTTTTGTCCACACAGCACTAACTCATATGAGGTTGCCATGCCAACTGGTGTCAGTTCATTCAAGTGTCATTCTCGTGAAATATAGGTCACTGGGTTAATGTCTGAGAGCAATTCAAAATAGACCGCAGGCCACCTGTCAATAAAGGAGCCTCGCTGTCGCTGCTCGTCATCTCAAGCGTACTCGTGCAGGTGAGGGCCGCTCCATCAAGGCAGCTGGGTTCGGATGGTATCTCCCCCCTTTCGGATGACAAAATAATTATAAGGTCTGAGGAGGCTGTAATACAAACAAAAAAAACCCCACAAAGCTGAACGCAAACAGTGGTGCAGCTTCACAGCACTCCACTGACTCAATTTGAATCTGAAGCAAGAGGAAACAGAGACATGAAGTGTTTCCAGTTTTCTCCACTAGGAGTCTGAACTGAGCCACAAAGAACCAATACAGTAACAAGAGGGCAGGATACCACGTTAAAATGTGAACTGAGGAGTATGTATTTGTTCATAACATCCACTCAAGCTATATAATAATTGCAGTGTGAGAATATTGAACGATATCTACCAAATCACAAATTATTTGATTTATTGCTTGTATTTTATTACAAGTCAGTTGCAATGGGAATTAAGGCTGAAAAGTAAGTGCACTCATACATGTCAGACTAACAATGTAACTGTAATTTTATCGAGAAGTTGAAATGTGTTTAGATGTGAGTACAGCCCCAGAGCTGCATGGTAGCCATGGCTGTAAACTACAGACTGCATGAATACTTTGAACATTGATACACCCCTCCTTTTATGTTAGACACTAGCTCAGTTTTTTTGGTAGTTTTTCTTTAACCTATTGAAAAATAAAGACAATGGATGTCGCACCTTGTACAGATTGTTAAGATCTTTCAGGCAAATTGTAATTTGTGAATACAGGCCAGAAATGATTTTAAAATATCACAGACACCAACCCTGCCATCTTTGGCCGATGATGTCGTGTGGAGTCTGTGCTGTTGTGTGCTGATCATGAGTCAGTAAATCGCGACATTTCACTACGTTTTTACGGCATCAAATCACCAAACTTACCGGACAAATTAGCAAATGAACATACACCACTGTAATAAGAAATACCTTAAACATCTTTTGGAAAAAAAAATTTGATTAACACTAACATAGGGGAGGCAGGGTTGACCAATGACCTATGCTGCAGCCACCAGGGGCCATGTTGTCCATCTTTATATAAATGTAAAGATGCTGTAAACTATTATATAAATCCTCTTTTGCCATCATGAGAGCTTTGGATGAGACAAGGTCTCTTCACTAACATGCAGGTAAAATGGTGACGATACAGTTGATCTGAGAGTCAGTCACTCTGATAACAACTCAACTCATGGTTTATAACGTAATGTCAATCTTCCTCCTGCATGACTTTGAATCACAACAAAATCAAAGGTTCCTTGTTCCCACATTCAGTGACTCACAGAGTTTTCGGTGACTGAGCGGTGCAGCAGCCTCAGGAACGAACTGTGGTCAGTGTCACGGTCAGTCGGCCACGGATGCAGGCTTCAGAGACAAACACTGACTTAATGTGGAGCGGTGGATTATAAGGGCAGAGAGGGGGCAGTGATCAGCGGGAACCGGCCCACACAGTAAATGTTTATGGGTTGCCATTCGTCCTCCAAGAGACACTCTCTCCATTTCCACTCTCAAATCCCATTTTACTTTGGTCCATTCAAAAATGGGATTAGAGGCTTTTAAATTTAATTGGTTGGAAAATTTGGTCGTTTTGTTTTTGGTGGCAAACTGGCGCCACTGTTGCGTACTTTCCTGCCGTTTTACATGCGAGTGGTTTGGAGAGACAGTCGGGGAAATTGGCTCATCGCTCAATAGAGCTGTGAGACTTCTGCTGATGACATTTCCATTAACAACAGGACATAATATGTTTATAGATCCCTGTTTGCTTGGCCCTTTAATTTCTCCCTGTGCAACAGTTTCTAACAGCTGTGTGAGCATGAGCACGCCAGACTTTATAGATCGTCCATGAAGTGGATCTATAGGCAGTAAATTGTGCTGACACAGCATGGTAGAGTGGCTGAAGTAGAAAACTGCATCTCATGGTGACTAACAGAACATACAGTGTTTAATTAAGACATTGCATTGTGACTGAGGTACTATGAGATGAAGGTGAATTTACAAAATCTACACTCTGGGAATAATTAACTGTATATGCTGAACTCTTGAACCCCACATTTGATTTGTACTTATGACAACATTTGCAGATAATGATAATGCCGTGTTGATGTCATTGTAAAAATTGATTTTCTAAATCTATGGAGGAACAAGGAGAAAATCACTAATGAAAGCTGTCTATACCAGACATCCTGTTTCTGTTACATGCCGGTTTTCAGCTGTTCTCGTCCGAACAGAGCGCTCCAGCAACACAAGCTCCATTAATTGTCAGTAAATTACATTAAACTGTGCATGAGCAGCTCTGCTTAGCAAGTGTAACTGGATTTGTGAGGCCCTGATGATGTGCTCCTCTCGTAGAGAGAGGTAAATTTTTGATGCAAGAGAGAAGACATCTCTGTTGAGTCCGTTGTAGCTTGTTGAGTCAGGGTCGTATATTAAACTGATTAATTGTGTGCAGAAGAACCAAGGGACGCCTCAGCAGCAGCGTATTTTACCACAGGAGCAGGAACAAGGGCGGAGATTTGATTTCAGGAGATGAGGAGACAAAATTAAACCTGACGTTATTTTACATGAATTCAAATGCTATTCATCAATTTAGATTGAAAGCAATGAAAGCATCATTTTTGTTATCATTATTATGATATGATAAGTGTCCTTAATGTCTAATCCTGAAATTTGTATATAATTTAACTCATAGAAACCTTAGACTGACAAAAGACTGTATGTCTATATTCAACATTTGTCATCAAAACAGTATTTTTGTCTCAGGAACTCTGTCTTTTTGCGATGCTTGTAAGAATGTCTAGAACAATAATGATAACAATAAGAAAAACCAATAAAAAATGTTAATGGTTGTTTTCCTCTTCTTGCTGCCTTAGATTTGATTGCTTTCCATCTGTAGCATTTAAACAATTATATTTCACATTATAATTACACTTTACAAAATCTATTCTAAGAAACATGCAGAGGAGCTTGTTATAGATTGATATAGTTTTAGGGATTATTAAAAGTGAAAGGTAAATGTTCCTCCTCATCCCCAGTGGAAATTATAGCCAACGACATACAGACACGTTTTGTTAATGTTTATTGTTAATGGAAGTACGCAGTGTTCTTTGCCCTGAATCTACAACAACAGAAAAGCCCCTGACCTGCACAGCCACATCTGCTCTGTGACGATCACACACTAATAATTACTTTGGTCACCAGAAGCCAAGTGCTACTGAACTGTTTATTTACGGAGTCATCAACCTCTGGACAATTTCATCATGGGAAATAAACAACCAGGGTCATGTCCTTCACTAGTGAAATATGTCAACTCGTCTGTGAGGCACCGTGTTAATAAAACATTTTGGCACGGAGACATAAAACTCAAATATTAAGTGCACACTCGCGCACGTTTGCACAAGGTTTCGACTACATTCAGCCCCAGTGGAACCATCTCCAATCAGTTTAAAATATTGAAATGAGGAGCTTGTGCTGACAATTACACTGCATCTAATTAACAGAATCCAGCTGGGAAGGCCATAATTTTGAATATGAGACCGACAGATCAGAATGTGTGTACTGTACACAAGGAGCGCAACATCAAAGAAAACACTGAATTTGAATTAAATAGTAAATAGTCTAATAAATAGTAGTAATTACACAGTATAAAGCTAAAAGTGGAAAATTTACCTGATCTACACATGCGTTATTGGATAAAAACTATTGTACTCTACACAATGTAAATGTGTCTGTATTGTGGTTCTGGTTTCCACAGTGGCTCTCACTACTTCTGCACCTGCCCCAGTGTTGTAGGTAAATTAAAATTTGAGCATAATTGTTTGCCTGCGGAATGAATCAGGACACATATTCAGAAGAGTGACGGGCGTGATCGACATCCTGATTTATAGAACGACCCCTGTTTTTGTGCACATAACTAAGCTGAATCGAAGTCGCGCTCGACCCTGTCTGCTCAACCACACCTCTTGGTGAATGGTGCTTTAACTGTATCCATCTGGCTGTGACACCCGTAAAGCATGTCCACTGAGGGCGCTGCGTGGGGGCCGGGAGGTCTCATGGGAAATCTAGTAGTTTGTTTGGCGGGAAACAGGAGGCGTAAACAAATGGAATGGCGTCGGAAGATTTACTGCTTCCTAATGCATACATCTTCATGGTGGGACAATCCCACCTGCTCCGCCATGGCTCATTATGACAGGCTGCACGGGGGCAGAGAGAGAAACCTCTGTGACTGTAGGGGAGTATACTGCTGCTATACTAGTTATACTGTGCTAAAATGTACTAAAACTGCAGAATTACCTTTCCTGCAGTAAATTCAACTGAGGCGAAACATGTGGCTGGCTCTAAACAGCTGGTAGTGGATTTGTATCTGCTATAAATGTTGAGATAAGTAGCTACAACTGCCCTGTGGTTGGCTTAACGTGTGTATATTGTGGAATCATTCCTCATGATAACAAGTGTTTTTGTTTAGTTGGCCATGATGCATGGCAGTAATTTGGTTTTAATGCAGCTCAGGAACCTTTACATGTCAATTCCCTCTTCGCTTACATCATTCCTGCCCCTGTCCAGTCACAAGCAAACAAGAATAACAGGTATATATTTTATTGGTGTGCAGAAATTCAGGAATAAAAACACACTGTAGGAAAATCTCTGACATATTTTAGATGGCTTCTTTGTGCGTATGGGGGCTGATATCTTCAGGGTATAAACCTTTATGAAATAAAAATAAAATTGGACCAAAAATTGTATTTAATTTTAAATGAGTAGCAAATTTACATGATTTAATTTCACTATACACCTGCACATTTCAGCTGTTAATTTGGGATCAAGAAGTTTATCTTTCACAACTCAAACGCTTTTTTAAATTCTGTGCTTTAGCATATTAACTGTGAGCCCATATTCACATTAGTTATACCTCAAATATAAAACGCATCTCACATCAAACAACACAGCTGCTTATACTGCACAGTGTGCATTCGGTTGCACATTACATTAGTATGCAATTGCCGATGCATTTATTTTTTATCGCAGGTTCCCCTGACTATAAAGCTAGGCCATTGCATTTCTTC